CTGCGGAAGCCGTCTGAGGTGCATGGCTGTCCTGCAGAGGGCATTTAAGATGCTGATGTATATCTCTATTCTGCCTGGAGAAGTAGTATGCAGGAACAGTGCCAAGGTCCTTGCTATACACTGTACCTCTGCAGTTTCAGATATAATTAGGATCATCCTGGCTGGAAACACAGTGCATCAGAGGCGCTGCTTCTCAAGCCCTTGAAGAAAAACAAACCAACAGTCTGCGTGCTAACAGCTCTAGCAGAGAGAAAGTCAGAGGCATTAAATTGTACTCAAACACACACAAAATATCTTTTTCAAGCTATACAGAAGTGAAAGTTGGATCAATAGTCCCAGGAGAGAAGACATTCTGTCTCCCTGGCTGGTCCTACCTAAGAGGATGCCTCTGCTAGAGGTGATATCCTTTCTGACTAATCAATGGGACAGCCCTCCTCATATCCTAGGGAACATTTTCATCTCTGGTCAACTTGGGGGCAGGGGCCATAGGAATTGACAAAGAAAAGCAAATCTATATACAGATATACATGCACAGGATTTCTAAAGGGGTCCAAATATTTATGGATAACACTTTAAGGCTTAAATTCAAAAAGCAGAAGGAGGATTAAGACCAGCATGTCCACGGCACTGTGAATCTATAGGGAAATTGTGGTGCAGTGACCTGGACAAACAGGCCAGTCTTCTGGTCTTCCATCCCTTTCCCTATTTGCCATAGGAAAAGCATTTATCTGAATCCCTTCCCCTGATATTCCCCCACGATCACCCTTTTAAAACCAAAACACTGATTTCTAATAGCATTTGCTTGTGCCTGTCCAGGTGTCCAGTTTGAAATCAAAGTTGTCCGGATAAGATTCCAAAAGATGAAGTGCTAAGGCAGTGCCTCACTTTTTTTGTTCTAAATCTTCTTTAAATAGTCTGTAAGAATTCATACAGGGAATGGACCTCCTTCTCCAACATGAGTTTGGAGTGCCAGGTAGTTTGCAGGCCTGGCATAACAAATGCATCACGTGGGAACATGCATAAACAGAGCAATCCCTAGAAACGGGAACACCAGATCAAAGTAGCCTAGCCTGAAGGGAAAGA